TGTCATTTATAAGTGTATTAGTATTGTAATGTAAGTTGTCATGGAATCGTTTGTAATGAATACGTATGTGTTCGTTAACAGTCGGCATATGGAGGTCAGTATGTAAGGTTATGTTGCTAACGTACCAAGGTGCTTTTGTAATTGTTCTGAATGTTTTTGCTTGAAAGATTTGAAGTTTGTTTAAGTGAGTCTTTTTAGCAGTTCCAAATATCTGTGATGCGTAAGTCCAAATAGGTTTTAGTAAGTAATTGTATGTGTTCAATTTCTGTCTAAGTTTTAGTTTTGAATTTTTTGAAAGAAGTGAACTCAGAATTCTTAATCTTTGATTTAAAGTTTTTCGTTTTTTGATTATATGTGGGCCCCACGTCATTTTTCTGTCAAATGTCAGACCAAGGTAGTGAACGGTGTCTGTCTGTGGAATCTGTGTATCGTCAAGGAAAACTGGAGGGCATGTTTCATGTCGAAGCGTAAATGTGATGTGCTGTGATTTGTCTTGATTTAGTCGGATTTTCCAAATTTTGAACCAGTCATGTAATCTTGTTAAATACTGTTGTAGGGTCTGTGAGGCGTATGTTGGATTTTTGTGTTTTGCTAAAATTGCTGTGTCGTCTGCATATGTCGCTGTTAAAATGTTGGGACTACAAGGTATGTCATGGGTGTATGTGATATAGAGTAGTGGGGAGAGTACTGAACCTTGAGGTACTCCTGCTGAGATAGACCTGATGGAAGATAGTTCTGACCCGTGTCGGACCGAGAAAAATCTATCGGAAAGGAAGGATTGTAGAATTAGATAATATGTAGGTGGGAGTATTGTCTTGAGTTTAAAGAGAAGACCCTGGTGCCAAACTCTGTCAAACGCTTGAGCGACATCCAGAAATACGCCAGTTGCATATACTTTCTGCTCTAGTGCTGTAGATATGTAGTCCGTTACTCTATGTAGTTGGTGTATAGTTGAGTGATGTGCCCTAAATCCAAATTGATGATCAGGTATTATTTGGGTGTTTGTTAGTATATCAACAAGTCTTTTGTTCAGTAAGCTTTCAAAAATTTTGGAACAGATAGGTAGTAAGCTGATTGGTCGGTATGAGGAAGGTGAGTTTTTGTCCTTTTTAGGCTTGTGAATCATTATTATATGTGAGTATTTCCACTGTAGGGGAAATTTAGTTGTCCTCAGTATTGCATTATAAATAGTTGTCAAAAGCACTAGAGCTTTTCTAGGCATTTGTTGGAGCACTTCAGCGTTAATCAATTCATGTCCAGGAGCTTTTCTTTTAGGCAACTTTTTGATTTGTTCAGCAATCTGTGAAGGTGTGAATGAAATAGGAGGTGAAGTTAGTTGTAAGGGCATGTCTAAAGTGTTTAGTACAGTGCTATCGTGCACAGTGTTAGTGAAGTCTGTGTGTGGTACAAAAACAGAAGAAAGATATTCGGCAAAGAGTTCTGATTTTTCTCCGTCCGTCACGGCCCAGGAATCATCTTGTCTTCGAAGGGGTGCTGACACTTCACGATGCTTAATAAGGTTTTTAGTATGTCTCCACAAGCTTCCATCGTCGGTTGAGAGATTTCTGATGTAGTTGTCATAGGTTGTTCGTTTGAATTTTCCAATCTGTCGCTTGAGTTCATTATTAAGTCTGTTGTAAGTTCGTTTATCTGATGGGAGTCTGTCAGTCTGCCGTATTTTGCGAGCTCTCCTCTTCGCTCTGATCAAGTCCCTTATGTATTTAATTAATTATTAATATTAATAAAATCAAAATGTATTTTATTCTCTGTTGCCAACACAATAGTAGTATTAAAATATGTACTCCGAACGAAATTCATACAATATTTTTTCTCATACATTCAGACGAATAGATTGAAAAGAAATGAAGTTCTATTGAGGGATAAACAAGTTTAGGATCATCAGGGCAAGTAGAATCGCATGAAAAACAGAATCCGGGCCTGTTGATTGCTCTACTTGTTGCGAGGATCGTACTCAATCTTGTTATAATCATCCGATTCCAACATAAACATTTCATATTACTCGATCTTTTATCTTGTGCAATATTTTAAGAATACGAGCGTTACTTTATAAAATAAATAAATTATATTATTGATGCTCATTGTTCTTTTTTGGATCTCTGACTTAGCTCTGAGTTTAGGGGCTGCAATATAATCTTTCGCCAGTTTTCTCTATTACTCTCCAGTCATCCCAACATGCGCATGACATCAGTTTGTATGTTGAGGAAATAATAATGTGGCTAATAACATATTGTTCCATAATAATAGTATTATGTAGTTATATGCTGGATGAGAATGCATTATAAGTTATACTTTGTAATTATTTAATCTTTCGGTTCAACCTATTACAAGGATAATTATAAAACTGGAGGTTTGCGTGGATTACTTAGCTAATTTTCTAGAAATAAAATAAATAATAAGTATAGAATTATTAATACATACTTTTTTATATATAACTAAACATCCGTGTATAATTACCGTACAGCTTGCTCTGTAGCAACACAAGCTGTCCATAATATTTCCACAGTTTACATGAATATTCACAGAACGACCAGTGAACAGGATATTGCAATGAAAACTAATTAAATAACTAGAGTGCTATCTAACTTAATTTCGATGGAAACAACTGCATTGTCACAGCAGGAGTCCACAATTCAGTCCTTTGAAGCCTGGAAACATTATAGATTATCTAGGAATTTCCAGAGCTGTTTGAACTAAACATTTTCAATAAAATATTAGAAAGTAATAAATTAAAAATTTAATTTGTATAAAAACAATCTTAACAAAGAGATTAAGGATTTCAAAACAATCTCTCTCTCTCTCTCTCTCTCTCTCTCTCTCTCTCTATCTTGGCTTTCATCATTCGATATTGGTAAGTAAAATTTTATAAAGTTTATCTGAAAGTTCAAGCACTTTAATAAATAAATAAACAAATGCCTTTTCCAATATATTCATCCTAAATCTTGGCTGATGATCTATAAAGTATTTATCAAAATTTCTCGCTTCGACCCACAAAAGGATTGATTTATTTTCACTAACGTTTCCGATTTAGACCAATCCAGATACCTATCCTTCCATTAAAAACTTCAAAACGATCCGAACCCTCTCGTTTCAAACCTTGCTTCCTCCTCGATACTTTATAACCCTCCGATGCGTCTGAAAAGAAGATGGCCTCGTGATCTAATTATGCAAATATATTATCAGAGTTCTACCAATGGGTAGTTTCTCAACAAGCGTTTTCATGTCATTGCATCATTCCTGTGTACACATTTACTAGATGTATTTTTTTAAATGTAAATTTTTAAAAATCACTGACAAGGAGTACTCAACCAATATTTTAAAAGTATCAATCTAAAATAACATAACAAATTAATCGAACCTCTTTTCTAAACTGCGATGTCTTTGTGGTTATTTTTTTTTATTTGATAAGTCTGAAGGCAGTTAGCCTGAGACTATATGGTATTTATATAGTTTTAGAATTATTAATCCAGAAAATTTGTTGAAGAAATTCTTTTCCAACTACAAATTAGTATTTTTATCTCTCAAGTGGACAATTCTTACTAGGAGTATTATTTACTGAAAATTGAATATTTTATAAACTGATTGCTTTTCTGGTTGTTTTAGACATACTTGTTGATAATAGTATGTAATCAATATGTATACCTGATAAAGAGATTTTTTTACAAATTCTTAATCTATAAACTTCTTCAAATTAATGTTTCCACGATTCTCCAACCCACGTGAGCGAGCTTGATAAAACATACTTGCAAACGCATGCTGTACAAACTATAATACAGCACTTTGTATACAAGTGATATAACTATTTGTTTCCACTACAATCATACCTGAGTAATGAAGACGTTAATTACGATATCATTCAGTGATGCGACTGGGAAAGAAGCGCAGGGATCTCTTTGAGCCCTGCTTTACCTTCCACACGAGAGCGGCAAAGGATGGTTAAGGATTCCCCATGCTGAATATAAATATTGCATATAGGAATGAATGTGTGACAAGCAATTTTTTTCTTTCTTTCTCTTTTTATTAGCCTTTCAATGGTTTTTTTTCTTCTTTTTACAAGTATTTTATATGTTTGATATTCTTGTATTGTATATATTTTTTATTTACATGTTTTCTCCTTATTTCTTTTTCTCAATTTGTATATGATAGAATGAATTTACGCATAGATCCTTAATACCCAATGACCTAGATTGTGGCAGATTGTATTATTATAGCTCCAATAAAAAAAAAAAATTCTGATACCTAGCCTTTTCGGATGAATAGCATTTAAAACTAGATTCGGCTTCAAATATAAACTTCCTCAGCTGACTGATATACAAGAAAATTTAAGTTAATTCGTGTTATTCGTTACTTAGTTTTAGTTTAGTTCGTTTATAGGAATCACCAACGTAAATTGTGAAGATTTATGTTTTGTTTTATGGTTATGGTTATGTTTTAACCACATATTTACAGCATACATCATACCGATAACAGAAGTCGGATGGTATGATTGTTTCAGGAAGTCAAACATTTGTAGTTTAAAGGTATGCGTATTATTTACTCTGGCATTAATCATTAGCATCAGACTGAATGATGACAAGAGCAAATAATACTATCAGTTATCACCTACTAGTCAAAAACAAGTGTATTTTTTAAAATATTTTTTAGACTACTTATTTGTTATACGTTAGTTTAATTAGGCAAGAATGTTTCACACTGTAAGCAATAAATATTTGTTTGTTTTAGGTTAAAAGATTTGCCTATGTTCCCTATTAAAAATTTCATATTTGATCAACTAAATAAAAAAACAAGTCTTGGTTTATATTTAGTAAAATATATATATGGATACTAATAGTATGTAAATAAAGCAAGAGCCCTCTTTAAATCCAATAGCCTAATATGAAACCCTGATATTTCTCATGGGTTGCTGGAAGACGATTTTTTTTTTTTTTTTTTTTTTTGTTTTTGTTTTATACTTATACTTGCTAATATTTCATTTTATTCAGGTCACCGAGCGCACTCCATCTACGTTGGTGTTCACCTGCCTGGAAAGAGAAGGCATCGAAGGCACCACAAACATCACCACAAGCAGCAGCAACAGCACGAAGAACCTCCACAACCAAGTAACGAAATATTAATAGTTATATTTCTTAGAACAATCAAATAATAATTTATGTGAACGTAATTATTAAATATTTATGTCGATAATGTCTAAAAACTATTACCGTACTCGATCATGAAATCATTTTCTTACCAAAATAACTATTATTTTCTGATAATCTATTCCAGGAATCTACTATTATTATATCCGTAGGATGTAATATAACAACACTGACCTATCAGATACAGACAATAGAAATGTGATCGAACTAAGAAATCTAGAAGGAAAAACAAATAAAGGAAAAAGGGTGGTAGGAAATCGAGGAGGATAAATTCTCATGTTTTACTCAACGTTGGTTTTATTCTATTATTTCACCTAAATTCAAACCCAACTAGAACTTGACTATCATACTTTTTTGGATAAAAAAATGTGTCCATCATTTTAATATAACCACATTAACCTAATCAATGTTCCAAATTTAAGTTAATAAAAGTCCTAAGGGCGAAGATCAACCTAATTATACTTACACATACATACTCATATACAGCATGAGTATATACTCATGTCATTAATTACAGCTAAATTTTTTTGTATCAATTAATTAGTTTATTAATTGTTAAATAAAAATCTGGTGTGTCCACTCACAAGACTTTCCTACCTATTTCAAAAAGTTTTTATATCTTTACATATGTTCATGAAGAAATAAAAAAGAATTGAACTAGATATTAAATCCTGAAAATTGATCAAACATAAGATTTGAGTACGATTTATTTGATAAACTAAAGCAATGTAAACCGGCTTAAGATAGATCAGTGTAAAAATTTCAATACTTCCTAATATTGCTGATCAAAAACATTTTGGCATAGCTTAGTATTGACAAATAAGAATTTCTGTTGAAAGTATAGGAAATAGTGAAGGTTGTGTGATGCGGGCAACAGATTTTCTTACTTTCACTTAGTCATCTTTATTCTCTCATTCACCCCTTCCTGACGCCAGGATATGAAACCGTAATCTTACATTGGAAATTGAATAGCTGTAACTTCGTTAATAGTTGTCCAAAATGAGCGATTTTTATATGGCTTCGTAGGGAATTTTATTACCTTTCAAACAACAGGCTAAACGATAAGTATATAATATATACTTAGGGAGTTAGGCCCTATAACATTTTTCTTTTCTTTATAACTTTTTTTCCTGAATTTTTTGGGGAATTTAGTCTATATACGAAAATTGAAAGTACAATGATTAGATCATTATAGGAAAGTTTCATTAAAATCGTTAGAGCCGTTTTTGCGCTACAGTCTATAGAAATACATGTTTTTCATTTATTGCGCGCAAGCTTTTGCGTATTTAGCACCGAATTTCTGTCACAACCATTAGTAGTCGAAACCCTACAAAATAAAAAGAGAAGCAACAAAATCGGTTCAGTAGTTCCTGAGAAAATCTTGGTGCAGACAGACAGACAGACCAATGGCTAAAAATGTGTTTTTCGGACTCAGGAGGCTCTAAAACGTATAGATCCGTCGAAAACCGCATGTCGAAAATTTGACCCGATTGCAATACTTTCCTTACCTATAATAAGTTTAAAAAAATGCGTAAAAAATAGAATAAGCTGTATCATCGCAGATACTGGTTCGATTCCGATATTTTTTTTTTGTTTTGTTGGTAATTTAATTACCTTTCAAAAGTTTTATTATAAATTTTACCGTATAATATATACTTAGGGAGTTAGATCATTTATGATGGTCATATGTTCCATAATAAACCTAATCTGAAGAAGAAGAATATTTATAATTAAAATTAATTGTATTATCTCCTTTAAATAAAATACAAGAAATAAATGCACATTCTAAGCACTTTCCGAACATAAATTTAGACAGATTTTAAATTATAGTTATATTGGATAACAAATCCATATAATGATTTAGTATTTTTTTAAAAACAAAATGTCAAAAATTCGTACCCATTTATTTTTTTTTTAGTCATTAATTGCGTTTAGGAACTGTCATTTATCGCATATAACATACGGAATAATATGCCTAAGGAAGATGCTACTTTCCGTTAAAAAAGTATCAACAAAAGTCAATTTTCTGATTTTCTCTGGTTATAATTATGGCATTCCGAGGTGATCAGAATCACTATAATGGTTTAAATAGTCATCGGCCTGAAGAACTCATCAAATATCATTTTAGAATAGTTATAATGCTTTTTATAGCCAATATTTTCTCAAAAGATTTTATGTTTCTATATTAATGAGTACAGAAATGGGATTTCCACCATTTTCTTGGTAAATGTCATTCCGAGGTGTAGTTTGGAACCATTATCAGCCTGAAGAGCTCTGATCATTAAACTGGAAACTCGATCAGAACGCGATGAACAAAGCGTTTAATAGGCCATAACCGCTTGCCAGCTTCCGCCAGCGATGAAAGGAGCTGATTGCGCCATGGAGAAATGGAAATCGTGGTTCAGCATAATTGTGGCAAAAGCAATATAGCCTATTTGTATGTGTATTTCCAAGCTATCGTCAATGAGTGTCATATCAACTGATTTATCAAATTTCATACTTCTAATATTTGAAATAAATATAGTAATATTTTGTTATTAAACGTAAAATCACACAGTTTTATAAATAAAATAACGAATTAAATGGTTTGTCTGTTTTCCTTGTTTGGCTGTTTTTGTTTTTGTCTCTTTCCTAATAAAACGGCTTAACTGATTTCGAGGAAATTTCATTTCCTTGTTATTTATCATTTTTTTTTTTTTTTTATTGAATTTTCAATTACGAAGTAATCTACAATGGTCACGGTTTTAAAGTTGAAATCACTCGCCGTGGAAGATGATTTAGGAATCAAGTTGTTTAGAATATTTATAAATTAATATGGCTAAATTAAGGAATTTTCAGGCTGGTATAATAATATAAAAAGTTATGCTATAATTAATAAACTATTTACAATTACATAAAATTATAAATAATAACAACACATTAACAAATATATATAATACTAAATATAAAATATTAAAAAGCAAAGAACAGTAATATTAATGATGATTCCTTTTAACTGCTGGCCACTAGCTAGTTAGATAATAAAATGGAAGTTTTCGTTACATATTTTAAACGTGAAATTGCCTATTATTTCATTATTTTAAAACTTGTCAAAAATTAAAATTGCAATGATTTAGTTACTTAGAATTTTTTTAATTTATTAATATTTACAACTGTATTAACAAAGCACAACATGTAAATGTGGTATGGTTATGGCATAAAATAATATAAAAATAAAATAATTGGTATTGAACAATAAATTTTTGTTGACATTATTTTATTACAATGTCATTGAAGTGGCCACCTATAGTTTGGAGACCCTTGATGTAATTAAAGAAATCTTAACAGAAAGTTCCTTATGAAAGAGGAGGCAAATGTAATTTTGTTAATTTAACTTAAGTTGCCGATTTATCCCAATCCAAATACCTATCCATCCATAATAAACCTCAACCCTATCCAAACCCACATGTTTCTAATCTTGTCTCCTCTTCGATTCTAATAACCCTCCTACGTGTCTGAAATGAAAATGGCATCGGATTCTTCTAATATGGAACTAAAATAATGTTAACAACAATATATTGATCAGTATAAATTATTTTATGTTAGAACTTTTTTTTTTTCTGAATCTCGTTCCTTACTTGTTTCAATTACTTCGGTTGTTTAAGGAATGAGATCTCTCATCTAACGCCTTTGTTAACAAATTAATTTAAATATTAAGGGCTATAATTCGATACAGAAATCATCAAAAATATTTACAAACTGTAACAGTGTTTCATTCAAGAATGGCAGAACAACCTTCCTAGGTTCTGAAAAGAAGACAGCCTCAGGTCCTTCTAATATATAACTATAATATGAGTACTAAAAATGGGTAGTTTCTCTTCAAGTCTACACCTGTCATTTACCAAATCACATTTACATGTTTTATTTTAGTTAATACAGTTGTAAATTTCGATAAATATGTTTTTAAAACATTTTTGTTAGCAATTACTACGATATCAATTTTATTTTTAAGTTTTAAGATAATGAAAAAACAGGCAATTTCTCTATTCAAATATTAAACAAAAACTTTTATTTTATTATCTAGCTAGCTGGTTGCAAACAGTTAAAAGTACTTTTATCATTAATACGGCCGTTTTTTTATTTAATATTTTTTATTTTTGGATTTGGAGTTATTATTTAAACTTTTGATAGGTGTAGTGACCAGCCAAAATTTGTTGCACAGACACAAGTTATAACGCAAACTGTAAGAAAACGCCTAAAACTTTAATGGAAAACGAAATTGTTTGCTCTGAAAAGAACATATTGCCGCTATTTCGAGCATAATTGGCTCCACATATATACCGACTGCTCTGCCCAAACAGCTAAGCGGAATGCAGGTGTAGGAGTATATTGCCAAGCGTTTACGTAACCATTCCTGTTGGTAGTGGTGGAACAAATTTCGATAGAATAGAAAATATAGAAGGAACTCAGCTATCTTCAAATCGCGTTATTTTTTTATTCACAAGGTGCGATGCTGGCGATGTGCAATAGCCTGAATCATTCTTATGTCACTGATACTAGAGATCGGATTGATGATCTGATTAAAAAAGGAATCCGAGTGACATTGCAATTGGTTCCAAGGCATTGCGGTCTACCGGGATACGACCAAGAAAATTAGCTAGCCTCGGAAATGCCGCAAAGCAATCCTCCGCTGCCCTACGAATCTCCTAAAAGAATTTTAAAATTCTTTTAAGAGTAAGGGGTTAGGAATTGGTAAAAACAACAGCCAGCTGTGCAAAAATGGGAGTATTAAACAAACGAGATAAACACAGATGAAATAAACACAAAGTAGGAAATTATCTGTGGTGTTTTTCCGCATGATGAACAAACATAAAACATATCTGCAAAGGCATTTACACAGGATCGGAGTCATCGAAAGCTCCACCTGTCCCCTGTGCCGAGAAGAAGAGAATTACGACGTTAACCTCTCAGTGTGTCCCGCT